ACGAGCTGGCCCAGTGCGAAACGGAGTATGTGGCGCGCAAGAAGTCGATGCTGTCGCTCTCCAAGTTGGCTGCCTACGCTGCGCCCGACGTCGATTTGACGGCACAGATTGAGAAAATAAATTTCGAATTGATGGTTATTGAGTATCAATCGCATTTGGGTCACGACGTCTTGCAGAGCTTCGGCTTTGATCCCACCGACCAGAAGGTGCTCAAAGTGGAGGAGATCATCAATGTGAGTATTCAGTCAGCTATTGGTCTGTGCGAGATCGGCTTGTTCATAGTTTCGTTTGCTTGCAGCTCTTTATTGCCGAGGAGAACGAGAGCGCCACCGAAGTCGAGTTCCGCAAGGCCTTGGAGCTGCTCAGCTATGTGGACCAGCCGTACGACTTGCGACACAAGATCTGGTGCGCGATCATTCGGCGCGACAACTGGACGGACTACGACTCGAACAATGCCGTCGACTATATACACAAGCTGCTCTTCTACAAGGTGATTGAGCTGTCGCAGCTGATGGGTCAGGAGGGCGAAAACGTGTTGCCCCCCATGGAGGACTTCCTGGACAGCGCCGAGCTGGGCGAGCTGCCGCAGCAAAAGTCCTTTCAGTATTTGCTGAAGCTGACCTACGAGTACGTGGGCGATATGTTTAAGCCGTCGGAAGATATGGATCTGTAATCATTTCATTTTGGGCATTTGCCATTCTCATTAAAGACCTAGACTAAGAAACGACTTTTGATGCGCTCTTGGACAGTTGTTGGCTTTGTTCGGCCCGCATTATAAAACATTATAAACTAAGTTGCTTTGTCAGTGGTCGTTGCTGCGACAGTTGCTGCTGCCGGCGAAAGTAACTCAAGTGTGGCGAACGGAGTGGAAGCCCGCCAAGTGCCAAGTGCCAAGTGACATGCTGTTGGGGCACTTACTCTCAGTCCGCCTGCTGGCAGCTCTTTAGTTTCGCTTTGATCATGACGGACGAAACAACGCCGCTGACCGCCGGAGGCAGAGCCGCTGGTTATGTTGCACTACCGCCCTATCAGGGACCCAGCTATGTGTTTCCCGGTGGCGTCTCCCCACGCGCGCGTCCTTCCAAACTGAAGCAGTTCCAGTGCTGCATCACGCTGACCTTTATGTGAGTGCTCCAGGTGTTGTTCATCCAAATCGGAATATTTGCGATATATAGTATATACGCTATGCTAGAGCTCTGACTGACTGCTGGCTGTACCAAGTATTGACACTGAAATTGGATCTGCTCTAAGTGAATTGCGCATTTTTACTAGTATTACAAGGTCGAGTAGTGGCGATTTCTGCAAGTATGCAGTTCAAAAGTTCGTGTTCGATGCGATATATTTTGTGATGCATGGATCGTATTACTATATCACATGGCTGACGGAGCATTTGATTGAGTTTTAGATGGTCTGTGAATACACGATAGCCAATTAAGGCTGCGGACTTAAGGTGTAGTGACATTATTGTGCAGTTGAATGAAGAAAGTTATCGGATGTTAGCAATATTTATATATTTCAACAAATGAAGATGGGTAAACACGCAAAGTATGGTCGTTGGACTCACACGCTTCAGCTCAGCTTATCCATATAGCTTTCAGATTGTTAAGGTAGACATATTAGCAGCCCAAAGAGAATATAATGCTCAAGGAAATATAAAATAATAGAGTTGTACATATGTATGAATGTGTTATATGAAAAATCGATCGAAATTCGAATTTAATAAGAACAGTTTCGTGTTGTTCCTTGGAGGTAGAAATATTGAAAAATATGTACAGATCATTTCGGATGCTAAGAGATCCGAGACAATAATTGTATTATTCAAAATTTCGGTTAGTTAGGACATAAACGGACCAAAGGCCAAGGGAAATTTATATTTGATAGCACTAGTGAGCCAATTTCACAATCTAGGTCCAACATATCTTGTAGGGTATTAAATCAGTGTCACTTCAATTGGAAATTCCCATTCCCTTTGGCTGCAGCTTGTCATTTGATAGCCCTGTCTGACCCGGCGTGTTAACGTTTAGTTCGAAAAGGCTTTAACCACAAATCAATTTCACTTTCCTGCCCGCAGCGTCATTGTAATTGCCGCCTTGGGCCTGGCGCTGTGGTTCAATGGCAGCGGCTACGATGGCAGCAGCAGCAGCAACTCGGGCTGGGAAGAGCCCAGCTTCTTCTTCGCCACGAATGAGTCTGTGGCCGAGATGCTGGCGGCTGTCAAGAGGCCCATACCGGATGAGCCCGAGTCGGAGTGGGCGCTGGGTAACGCGACAGTGGATAAGGGAGCGGGCGCTCGTTCGGTGAGTGCGGGCATCAAGGCGCTGGGCGATCGCGAGATCCTGGAGGAGGGCCTGCAGCCGAGCGCCATCAACACGCCCACGTTCCGGCACTATCGCTCGCTCAGCACGAATCCCGAGGCGCGTAAGCTGGCGCGCCGCGGCTACGTGGAGAACCAGGCCACGCTGGACATTGCCCAGAGCTACAACTACACCAAGCAGCCGGGCCGCAGCAACATTGGAGTTGGGCCGATAATAGTGCTGCCCGATCCGCAGGTGCTGCGGCTCGACTGCGACTTCAATGAGCGCTACAGGCGCAGCACGGGCGTCTGCAACAACAAGGAGCATCCGCGCACCTACGGCGCCTCCATGGTGCCCTATCGCCGCATGGTCGCGCCGGACTACGGCGATGGCATTGCCGCTCCGCGGGCGGGTCATGGACTCAAGCAGCTGCCGCCGGCTCGCCAGGTCTCCCTCAGCATTCATCGCTCCAGCTACGAAACGGACTCGAATTTCACCGTTATGCTGGCGGTGTTTGGACAGTTCTTGGACCACGACATCACGGCCACGTCGCTGACCACGGCCCAGGAGGGCGAGTCGATCGATTGCTGTGCGCGCGGCACTCTCGAGCAGCACCCGGAGTGCTTCCCGGTGCACATCCTCGCCGAGGACCCCTACTACAGGCAGTACAACCTGACCTGCATGAACTTCGTGCGCTCGGCGCCAGCTCCCACGGGCAGATTCGGACCACGCCAGCAGTTCAACCAGGCCACGGCCTTCATTGACGGCTCTGTGGTGTACGGCAACCTGGAGCAGCGGCAGCGGAGCCTGCGCAGCTACATCAATGGCACCCTCCGCATGTTCCTCACCGACGACGGGCGCGAGCTGCTGCCCATCTCCTCCAATCCGGAGGACGGCTGCAATCGGATGCAGATGACGCGCCAGGGCAAGTACTGCTTCGAGTCGGGCGACGATCGGGCCAACGAGAACCTGCTGCTCACCTCGATGCACCTGCTGTGGGCCCGGCACCACAACTACCTGGCCCGGGGCCTGCACCAAGCGAACCCCGACTGGGATGACGAGCGCCTGTTCCAGGAGGCGCGCAAGATCCTGGCCGCCCAGCTCGCGCACATCACCTACAACGAGTTTCTGCCCGTGCTGCTGGGCCGCAACCTGAGCCAGGCCAAGGGTCTGCTGCCCGCCCGCGAGCAGCTCGACGCGCCGGACACCTACGATCCCCAGGTGGATCCCAGCATTGCCAACTGCTTTGCGGCAGCTGCCTTTCGCTTCGCCCACACGCTGCTGCCGGGGCTGTTCAATGTGTCGCGGGACAACAGCACGCCCGAGGCCATGGAGCTGCACAAGATGCTCTTCAACCCGTTCTCGCTGTGGACGCCGCACGGCATCGACCACGCCCTCCAGGCCGCCGCCAATACGCCCGTGCTGCGCGTCGACCGCTTCTTCTCGCTGGAGATCACCCAGAAGCTGTTCGAGGGCACGGCCGAGGATCGCGTGCCCGTGTGCGGCCTCGACCTGGTGTCGCTGAACATACAGCGTGGCCGCGATCATGGCATACCCGCCTACCCAGTCTTCCGAAGGCACTGCGGACTGCCGCCCGTGGACACGTGGGAGCAGATGGCGCAGGCCGTGGACAACGCCACGCTGGCCTCCATCAGGCAGATCTACGAGTGGGTAGCACTTGGCTAACTATGACTTGAGTTTCACTTCCGATTTACCCTCAGCTCCCCCCAGGATGTGGACCTCTACACGGGCGCGCTTAGCGAACCGCCGCTAGATGGCGCCATCTTCGGGCCGCTGCTCAGCTGCCTGGTCTCGGATCAGTTCATGCGCATCAAGCTCGGCGACTCCCATTGGTATGAGCGCAAAATGGGACCACAGAGGCTGACCAAGCGTAAGACTAGTCTGAGATATCCAAGTGTACGACTCTACGATTTATTCTGCCTGCAGCTCAACTGGCCGAGATCTACAAGAGCAGCCTGGCTGGCATCATCTGCCGCAACTCCGATGGCATTCGACGTGTGCGTCAACATCTCATGGAGCGTCACCGCTCGGATGGGAATACCTATGTGAACTGTGTGGACCTGGAGGGCTACGACTTTGACTTTCAGCCTTGGTCGGAGGCGAACGAGGCCCCGCAGCTGCACAGAGCGAGCTTCAGTCAAGCCGCCTCCCTAGTGCGAGTCTTTGGGGTCCATAACAATACAAATGCAACTCAAGTAACTGTAGCTAATTGATGAATAAATATTAATTATATATCTATAGATGAGTGGAGCTGGTTAAAATTGAAGGCTGGCTAGAGCTAGAGTATATAATAGAGCTGGAATAATGATAGATACCTTAGATATGGATAAATCTTACATTTATAGATCTGACTCAAGTTGATATTTCGACTCGAACTGGACTAGAACTGAAAAGGAGAACTTAGAAATGGATAAATCTTACATTTATAGATCTTACTCAAGTTGAAGTTTCGACTCGAAATCAATTAAAAATTCATTTAGTGTTAAGCTAAAATGATAAATCATTCATACAAGTCCACATAAGACAATCATCTTGCCCTATTTGAATTTTCATATAGGATATATTCCAATTGGAAAATGAATAAGTGAAAGATTTTACGATTTCTTGGTTAAAGATCTATAGATCTCTCGAATCCAATCCAAGAATCCAATTCTACTTAAGCAATCTGAGTGAAAAGTCTAAAAATATCGTTGATATTTCCTATTTAATGCATTTAAATAAATAACAAATTGTTAATTGCTAAATAATTGAAGAGCTAAAGTCAATTGATTGGCCTCGCCTTATCGCTCATCTCGGCTCAGCCGCAGAGGCTGATGTAATCCTAGGCATGCCATTGCAGCAGCCAATAATCCACGCAGGAGAGCACAAGCGCTCCACTTACCGACTGCCACAGCTCGCATTAGCCCGGCAGCAGCAGCGTGCCATTGGAGGCGAGGGCGAGTGCTGCGGGTGGCGCCAGAGTGGGGGTTGCGGCCGGCAGACGAACAGCTGGACAGATGGTGGCCGTGTCGTGGTAGTAGGCCAGAGCCAGGGCAGAGAACAGAGTCAGGAGAAATGCCAGCCAGAGGCAGACGGAGCACAGACGACGCGCCTTCTGCCACCAAGGATCCCAGCCGAACGGCAGCAGCTCCTCCAGCGACAAGCCGTACGAATAGCTGTCCAAATATAAAGTGTATGTGTGTGTGTATGTTTATTAATTATTTAATGCAATGCGACAGTTAAGTGTGTGTTTACTCAGCAATCGTAAAAACGGGCTCATAATCCTTTGACTCCTTGTTGGGCACCAGAATGATGTGCGGCTCCTGCTGCTGCTGCTGGTGTTGTTGTCGCTGTGCTGCCAGCAGCGCAGTTCTCTCGTTGCAGGGCATGCTGTGGCTGTGGCTGCGACTGTGGCTGCTGCTGCTGCTGCTGCTGCTGTTGTCCTTTGTCTGCGTCCGTTTGGTCGTGGCTGTCACCTGGGGCGACAAGCGACTCCGTTAGCGCACAAATGAGACTGGCATCTGGCCTGGCGCTGGCTTTGTTTGCAACTTAAATTAGCGTTGTCGTTGCTGTCGTTGTCTGTCAGCCCTTGCCGTGGGGTATTTCCATTCCGATGGACAGCATGTAACACGTCAAGACTGCATACAAATTACAATTGAACAAGTTCAGTCTGGATTTGAATTTATATACATCAATTAAAGTGTGTATAGCTAAGGAAATCTATAGCTTATACCTCGTATAGGCCTTATAAAGGGTCTAATTTAAAGTGAGATGGCTCTTTAATAAAGAGTCTTTCTGCAAGAGGTATACTAAGTATATATGTGTCTAGAGTTTTCTTCATGTTAGGGTATTTCATCAACGTCGCGACGTCTCTAGACTTTTCCTGGTTGCTGTTGTTGTTTTTATTGTTTTATTGTCACTTTTTGAGTTTTTTTTTTCCAGATTCCTGTAAACAACTTTATCGCCAACTTATTGTTGCTGTTGCTGTCGCTATTGTTGTTGTCTCACTCATTTTTCCAGTCATCTGCGCGCATCTTCCGCCTCGAGCTGAGATTCGCACAGAGTTCTCTTATCGTAGTCTCGCGCGATTTGTTGGCTTCTTGGCTTCTTTTATTCTAGATCCCATGTAATCTCTTGCATAATAGCGATTGTCTGGCAATTGTCGCCCAGTTTCACACTGACAGGCCCCGCAGATAAGCCCCTGGCCCCAGATAAAGTGCACAATGTTCCACTTAAAAACTTCAGTTTAAGACAAATTTTTGTTTATTTTTGATTTTTGTATTTCGTTCGTTTGTTTTCCTTTTCTGGTTGGGTTAACATGCTTGCAAATACATATATGTACCATATACCTAAGTCATATGCTCGACTCTAGACTCTGAATAATGCCATGGAATTCCCTAAGTACTAGACCTATTTAAGTATATCTGGTTAAACATCAAGTTCGTATATCGTGCATAAATACATTTATGGTTAGTTTTCCTTCGGGAGGGGACTTTCACATATTTGGCTAAAGTTTTCGTATATTTTGTGGGGAGATTATATTTGTCATAGAGTTCATATATATATAAAGTATAACATGTAGATCGAATCGAAAATTGTTGATCCACTCAATGCTATAATACTTTGAGAGGTTAGTATTTTATTTATCGTAGCAAAGTATTTTTGGTATATATTCTGATTTACTTAAGCTAAGATATTGAGAAAATATCTGAAGTAAAATTGTTTTATGAATTTCCATATTCGGTTTTTCTATAGTAGGTATATTTATAGGGACTAGAATAATATACTTTATCAAAAATGCAATGAAAATAGGATTTTCAAGAAAAAAAAAAAAAGTTGTTCCGACTGAAAGAAAAATAAGAGGATCGTATTATTGAAATTATACAATATTTATTTAACAAATCTGTTAAAAATTATCTTATATTCTTTCTTTTACTTCTTCTGCTTCTTCCTCTTTTGAGTAAATCTATTGAAGTACATACCTAAATTCTATATCGGAAGCACTTTACTCGTTTTATTTGCCTTTGCCTTGAAGTTAATCAGTTAATCAGATTTATATATATATACTATGTGCCTTATGATAAGATCTTGCATTTTAGCTAACTTTATTATATTTCTGTTTTCTTGGACTGTTCTATGCGATAGTTCTACATTCTATTCGAATCTAACCTGATCCTGTTTGCGACTTACACGCAACGTCTGTTAACTTCCAGTTGGGTTTCTTATACTCGTTCACGACGTGACATATATAATCCTCTCATGAAAATTATAGATTTAAAGTTTTACTTGATTCCGTTCGCCCATTGGGGGGTGTCAAATAAGAAATCATTATTGCATCAATTTATTTGCTTGGATAATGTGAACGAGTATTATACAGTCAGACATTCCCTTGATCTATTAATTTAAGCATTCCAAAAATAAATAAAAATATTAAAAAAAAAAAAAAAACAAGAAATCGAAACAAAATAGAAGTAATTGAAAAATTCAATTTAATTTTCATATAACTTAAGAGCAAAAGACATTTGCAGTGATAGATGTAATTGCATTAAATACATTTCTCGGCTATATGCATAACTTAAGTTTATTCGGTATTAATCGTATATTTTTCATTCTCCTTTTATTTTTAATTTTTTGCATTTGTTTTCTTTGGGTATAGTTCTATATCTAGATTTGGCGCAGTTTTCCCATCAAGTTATTCAAGTTCTCAATACATATATGTATACATACATTCATACATATTGATAACCGTTCAAAATGTTTTAAAAAAATAGAATAACATTATACAAAAAATACAATTTCATTTAACAAACATTTTGGTGTTATGCCTTAATATCGTAATCGTTAATCGTTATCGTTTATCGTTTCATAGATGACAAAGTGAACTGAAAGTCTTGCCAAGTAAGTATATTTATGTAGTGCAGTGCACTCAAACACTGATGGTCGTACTAAAAAGTGCCGCAATTTTAATTGGTCGGAGTTTTATTTTGTTTTGATTTGATTTGAGTTGAAATTTTAGTTAAGACTACAGAAGCTTTTAGTTGTTGCTGCTTAAAAGTGCGTTGACTAGAAATAGTTGTTGATTAAATATTTATTATTTATTACGGTTTACTTTTTTTTAATATTTAAAAGAATACATTTTCTAGGGCTTACACATGTATTAAATTAACAATGGCTGATTGTGACAATTAATGGAGAGACAGCTTGAATTATTTATATGTATATATGTATATATTAAGTACAGCTATAACAAACAACAACAATGATAATTATAGTAATCATAATAATTATAATAATAGTAATAGTTGTAATAATTACTCGAATTGCATTAAGAACATTTCAAACATAGAGACAAGCTAATACATATACATATATATATAAATCATATATCATATATCAAATATCAAATATCATATATCATTTACGATTTATCATTTATCTTTTATCGTTTATCTTTAATCTTTTTGAATGCTGCTTTTATGTATAAATATTGTTCATATATATATGTATATGTATATATATATATATGTAACTGAATGATCACGTTGCTTGTTTGCTGAGCCCGAGGCAGCCTTTCTTGTATTTACATTACTTAAAATGAAACAATATATATGTAGCGATATATATTTGTTTAAAATAAGCCACACCTAGAAACTAATTAAACATTACAGTTTTTAATATTAACATAAATTTTACATACATAGTTCTCAATGTTTATATAGCAGTGAAACGTACAATATTCTCTTTATACATATTTGACTTGAATCATATAAATAAAAATTTCTGTTTAATCATCTTGAATATATATATATATATATATATAGATATAAATATATATTCTCTCTCTATAGCTTTGTTACAGCTATTTGGGCTGGCTAACGCGTTTCATAGCATGATCTGCTTAAATCATGATGATATCATATGCTTCCAGCGTGCTCACGATCAGATATACAACCCAGAGGAGCAACAATATCGACGCATACATCCATTTGGCAATCGTGGGTCCACCCAGCTCGGCGCGTATCGACTTGGACGATCGTCGAATCATCATAACTCCAATGGCAATGACAGCCTCGCCGCAGAAGAGCGTCACAGCAAAGCCAATGCTGAAATTTTATCTACTATTAGGAGATCTGTTATAGATAGCGATCCTCTGCCTTTGCTACTCACGTTCCGGGCTCCACATTGAACGTTGAGCCATTGACCGCATGATAGATCGAGGCGATGGACCACGCCAGGCCAATGCCCAGGAATACGTTGACTGCATTGCTGCCCGTGACATTGCCAATGCAATTGTCAGCGGTCTGATCCTGCTTGGCCGCGATGATGCTGGCAAATGTATCTGTATCAGGGCAGGAAATACTAGGTTAAAGAATTGATGTGCAATGCAGTTCTTAGCGTGAGGATAAACCAGTTTGCATTCCTATTCTATTATAACTGACAATCGCTTCGAATTCTTCTTAGATTTTGTACCTTATCTAACAGTATTATCTTTATAGTGGGGATGAAGCTGTCTATTCTTAAATATACTTCTAATACTTTGACTCTACATGTGCTTATTAGCTTAGCTTTACTTTAACAGCAGGATAAGCTGCCACTCGACGATAAATTTATACCAAAAGTCCACCCAAGTATCAGGGCATATCCCATTTTACCTGGTATACTGGTGCCTAGCGCCACAAAGCAAATGGCTGTCACCGAGTCCTTGACGTTGAGCACACAGCCAAAGTAGGTAGCCGCATCTCCGATAATCGCGGTCAGAACGCCAATCACGAATATAGAAACGACAAAGGTGACATAGCCGCCGCAGATATCTGTGAAAGGTAAATGATTTACAAGTCAATCGATCGGTATGAAGCCGATGTTACCTGTGGGCGGCACAAATGCAAACAGCACCTTCCAGAAGAGGCAAACGAAATGGCTGATATAATCCATACACTTCGGTACCTCCTCTCCCACTTCCTCATCGGCTTCGAAGTCATGCTCGTCAGCTGGGAGAGAAAAAGATATATGAATGAGTATACAGATCAAGAGACAAATCTAGATATATGAAGATTGGGTTTTAGAAATCGTTCCATGTCTATGGACAGATACGTATATACGGATAGATGTAGCTCACCTGGCACAACAGTTAGCGCATCCTTGAACTGTTCCTTCCACGACGATGTGCCCAGCACACTTGAAACGTTTGCCCGAGCGACCAGCTTGTCCACGGTACTCTACGGATATACAGGTACACAAATGCATGCACACAGTAATTTGGTTGAATTTTACAATATTACGTATACGCCTTCGCATATCATGTATACGCCACACACGACGCACACACACACAGTGACACAATGACTCGGTGCACACAAACACACCGGAAACAAAGCTTTTCATTTGAAGATTAGAGACAATTAGGTGCTTAGTTGCACGACAGGTGCCAGCCAGGTGTGTTTAGCTTAACTGCCAAGTGTTACGACAATGGCACCTGAGCCACTTTATGCTCTCGTCCTGTCGTCGTCCTGTCGTTGTTCCTGCTATTTTTGTCATTGTTATACCCATTGAAAGTGTTTACAAAGTAGCTAATTTGGTCAGAGAACTGAGTGCAATTCGCAACTAATCTATTGTATAAGTATGTATACAAACAATCGATAATAATCGATAACACTTTCTTAGGCATATCTCAAAGATATATATCACAGAGTCGTTTATATAGTATAAGTTGTCTATATATAGTTAATCTGCTATAGGTCATCGTCTAGTCGACTACTTGTTAGCCCTTCTACAACTCTCTGTGTGTATTACAGCAACAGCTCTGGACATTAAGCTGTCTGATGTGGTATGTGCACAAGGATCTTTATAATGTCCAACAGGGAGTGTTGCCTGCTTGTGTGTCTGTGTGTGTGTGTGTGGGAGTGTGTGTTAAGTGTCCACTTACAACAGATTTCGCAAACTGTCAAGTGCATTTCTAGTCTGTATTCGTATTGGAATGTGCTTACCTTGAATTCCGTGCTTTCACGTATGCGGATATATGTCGTGGTCAGCTCGCCGTTTCGTGGCTTGCTCATTAGCAAGATGCGTTCGAGATCTGTTAAATCTTCGGCTGGCTTTCTTTCCACCTGCTTGATTTTCTCTAGCAGTTCATCGTCTGTGCGGACCAAGGTAAATCAAAGTGTAAATCTTAATTAGTATTTGGTATATCACACAGAACTCTGGCACTTAACCAGAATTCTTCAGATAAACACACATAGATGTATATATACACACACCAATATATTTGCGTATATACACATTTATATGCTCACGAGTACACATACACATAAACATGGAGAGTAAAAGTTTGCTAAATTTAGAGAATCGTTTGGAATTGAGTGCATTTGCTTGCAGAAATATTTTGTGGATCTCGAATTGCTACAGCTCGAAAAATTTGCAATTAAATGAGAAGACAAATCAAGAAAATCTACAGACGGACACAGATACAGATACAAATACAAATACAAATACAGTTACAGCTACGATTACAATTAAAATTACAGTTACATTTACAGCTACTGATTGCATGCAAATGAAGCTAAATGAAATGAAAAGTTCGCTTAGAACTTTTGTGAAATGTTTTAATGAGTTCTTTGCAATTTGTCTAGACTTCGAGTAATATAAATAAAAAATATAATTACTGCCTAATACTAACAGATGTCTACTAAAATCTCTTTATGTGAGCTTAAATGCATTAAATTCTATATAAAATCGTTTCACTTATGGTTCATCCACTTGCGAGAGTGGAACCAGCCCATCGATTATTCATTAAGCTAGAGGTCTATAAAAAATTTTGTAAAAATTATGGAATACATAATACAAATCAGAAATCTGCGCCACATACGCAATATCAAAACCCAATAAAATTTTATAATAAATAGACAAATAGAGCTGAGTAAAAACTGATTTGCAAAAGGGTTTGGTATTGCTGAAAATTTAGAAAAGTCTTTTAACTTTTCTAGCTCTAATTCTAAAGGTAATCGATTAATAAAACCCAAGAAATTTTAGTTATGTTAAAGAAAGAATACAAATATTATTATTTTCAGAAATTTTCCACATTGAAACTTTTAAGAAATTCGCCTAATTAAGCTTAGATATTATAGAAAATTTTATAAATTTCGCTTAATCAAAATAAACCCAAAATATAAGCACATATATATAAAATATGTTAGATATGCTTAGATAGATCACTTGGAATGCATGCATAGAGAGAGAGAGAGAGAGAGACAGCGACACATTACAATATATTGCTGATATAGGGATGACTCACGAGTATGATCTCCAGTGTGATTTTCTATAGACAGCGATTGAATACGTGGAAGGTGACAACAAATTGGTATTTTTTTGTTTTGTTTTGTTTTGAGAGCAGGAATATTTAAAACAAGATATTTGTGGTTTATTTATTTCAAATGCAAATATAAATTTAATTTATATTAGTTTTTGTTTTTTTTTTTTTTTTTCGTTTGCTATGTTCAGTTAAGAAATTTGTATTTAATGCATTCAACCAATACAAATTAAGATAATTTTTATTGCTTTTTGTTTTGTTTTTAGCTTTAGCTTGGCTAGTATACCCTGTTAATATGCAATCGGTGGGGTTGCTCTAACATACACATAAACCAACAAGAGGCTAATACACTGAGAACAATATCTGCTGCGATTATGGTAAATCAAAAGCCGTTCACAAAATCAAATTTGGCCAAAAATGTACAACCACACACACAGACAAAAATAAAACCATAGGGGTATTCCACAAAAATAAAATAAAATAAAATTCAATTAAAGAGGACTAGGAATTATTCAAGAATATCTTGTGTGCATTTACTTACAAATCGAGTTGATGCAGAATCGTTTAACGATTTTTTATTTACATATATGTATATATAGTCGATGATATCGTATCGATTTCGAGTTCGAATTCGATTTCGAGTTTCGGGGCACAAACAGAAGCGGGCACAAGCGCGTGTTACGTCGAGCATAGAGAAGTTTACCAACAAAATGTCTTTAACCAAAACTTTCCCAAAAACTTTATTTCAATTGAAGACGAAACGTGAGCAAAATTTCCATTACTCTCTTTTCTTTTCCTATTTTAACTCAGAGTCTGTTGATCCTAACTTTTACACAAACTCGGCGTCGAAAAAGCGCAATTTTTTCTCACTTTAGTTGCTATACATGCGTTACATATATAAGGACTTACACACACACACACAGATACCAAAAAAATATACATTCAGGATATGAACACACATATTTTTTCTATATTATGAATGAATTGGATGGTCTGGGTGTATAAATCAAGGCTGTCCAAGTTTTCTTTTGATTAAGTTTGGCGCAGTGCATATCTTTTACAGTTCGACAGCGAGGATTACAGGTAGATCTATAAAAAATGGTTCACAATTCTTGAATTGTATTAAAAGATTCAAGCAGTCAAAGATTTAACTCTTTGCTCTCTAGCGTGAACGAGTACTACGTAGTCAGGTTGATCTTGAGATTTCAATATCAGTCTTTCATGATACGATACGATAAAAGCTTATGATATTTCCATAAATGTCTTTTAATATATTTTCGTTTTAACTTATTTTCGATTGCAGCCAAGATTTAAATAATATCTTAATGCGTGTGGAACAAAAAACAAATCGCAATGAATTTCGATTGCACATGAAAAGCCCATTGATATGTGTCATTTTTAAAGCTTTTTCTTTTCGTTGATATTTTTATTTTTAACTGAACATAAACACTTTGCGAGAGTATTGATTCAAGATGAGTTTGTAAGTGTTACAAATTTACTTTTACCTACCAAAAAATCGATGGAAAAATGATTCCTTATTTGTGTCATCTGCGTGAGGATAATTGCAATGGTTGTTGTTGTTGTTGTAGTTGTTGCAGTGTGTTATCAAATATTACATACACACATACATGGATATATATATATATACGGGAGTTGGATTAGTTTTGTTCAAAAGTTACATTAATGCATATGAAGTGAGTTATGTTTCAATATTAATTATACTTATACTAAATACTAAAACTTATAAAAAATACCAAAAAAGAAAAAGAGTGAAGGGTGCTACGGACTGCAGGAGGGGACAATAGGGCAGCTACGTACAGAGTTGATATCAAACAAAATGAGAAGAAGAAGTAGCTCAATACGTAAATACTTAGGAAAAGAAATAAAAATTATTTCATCTCTAATAGAAGAGGTTGGTAAAATATCTTAGGCAATTAAAGACAGTTGAACAAAAATTATCAATAAATCATGGAAAATATTATCATTGTTTATAACCAAACTAACACCATAGATGCATAGCTTATAAACAAAAATTAAGGAATTTTTATATTTGATTTAGAAAAGCAGAAATCATTTCAAACAAAATATTTATTATTAACTTAAAAACCTTCAGCAACAAAATTTAAATGTTAATAAATACTATACAATTATATATATTTTATAAAAATATATATACAAATAAACAACATTTTTAAAAGCTTAAAATAAATATTTATATATATTTTTAGAAAATATATACGCATAAAAAATTTAATATATTTTTTAATGAGCAAAAAATTTAATATTGAAAATATATAAAATAAAAGTCTTTAGTCTAAAGCAGACCAATAATCATTCTAATAAATTGTTTAGTTTTAAGTTGATTAATTTCATAATCATTAATATCAACTTTTTCTTTTCATTTTTGTACTTTTGTATACAAGTTTAACTTTTCATTTGACTAATTTATTTCCTTATATTTTGTTTTTGTTTTAGCTTTTTTCTCTCTACGCCTGAACCGTTTTTAAATGCCTAGCGACCAACACAAAAGGATTCTCCGAACAAAGGGGAATAACATACAACATTAAATGAAACACAAAACTAAACTGAGGACGGCGAGAGATACACATACATATACATAATTATACATACATATATATGGGTGTATACCTCTCGGTGCTGTCGAAAATATACAGAAATTTGCGCTCTTTGTTCGCAATTATCTCAAATGAAATTTAACGCTAGGCGCTGAACGGAATTCGAGTTAAGAACTTAAGGAATCGTAACCCAAGAATTGCTCCCTATTAATATACATATTATTTTGTTTCTTCTTTTTATGGTTTCGTTCGTTTTCAATTCAAATAAAATTAATTAATTGCACAATTCAAGTCTTACGGTAGTGAGCGGAATCTAGAAGCACAAAGAACACAAACGAAAAGAGACCGAAAATAAAAATTATGCAAGGAAATCAAACCAAGTTCAGTCTCTAAGAGTCAAGTGTGGGTGCCAGATGATTGCCTTCCAATCACTCAAATGGCAATTGCCAACAGCTGTATGTGTGCGTGGGTGTGTGTGGGCGTGTAGTCTAGCTGCGGTTATTGCCTTGGCAACAGCTCAAAGTCTGCCATTAAGTTTATTAAAAAAATTTCTGATCCATTTTGCGGCACTTTTTGGGCTACTGGCTCGAGTTCTTCATATAATTTGGTTAACAGCAAATTGAGTTTCGTTTCGGTAAGAATAACCGCGCGCACACACACACACAAATACACACACACGCACGCACACACACATATATATATATAGGAGAGACAGAGAGATCAGGAAGTGAAACTGTTTTTTGTGTGGATAAGCTGGTTTGGGGATTTCTCTCTGCTTTTCAGTGCTTGTAAAATTGAGTTTGGAGCTGCTGTCGCAACTTGTTTGGCCAAGAAAAAAAAAAAAAAACAAAAAAAAACTCACCTGGCGCCAGCACCGGCTCCCCAATTTTCACCTTGAATTTGACATCCTTCTCGTACGTACTCTCCTCGATGATGGGCACCGTTATGTATTGCCTGCAACAAAGAGAATTGAGGCACATGGATTACAATTGAAATCAAGTCGATACAATCGCATAGCTTCAACGTGGCCATAACTAACAGCCGCATTGATTAATGGTCGGCTATGCCTTTGGCTAAATGGCCGTAATCTTGACACTGTACAACAGCGTTTGGAAATTTATTGGCCGGCATTAACTAGACTGTGACAAGAACAAACAGACTCTCAGACCCGCACCCGCACCCGCACCCGCACCCGCATGCCAAAATCAATTGCCGAGAGCGACGCAGCTGAAAATAACAAAAATATATTACGTATACGCAGTGTAGTGCTCATAAATATGTGCATTATTCAGACTGTGCAATGAAATGTTTGCTAGCATAAAGAATTATTGTAGGCGGCAGACACAGCGAGAGAGAGAGAGAGAGAGGGAGAGAGAGAGAGAGAGGGGGAGAGAGAGAGGTAGAGAAAGAGAGCGAGATTTGGGAATGCGCCAAGACCAGCGCAAATCTAATCAAAATACTCTACAGCAGAATAAACTATGTCAGCTGCATCTGCGAATTTATGCAGATATATATGTATATCATATATAAGTAAATGCTGTGTTGGATTAGACTATCAAATTATATGAGCATGAGCCGGAAATGCCTGACCCATGCTTTCATATAATCACAGCTCGTAACTATTGATCATTTCTCGAAGTTTTTTTTACAGTTCCTTAAAAAATAAATGTTAAAGTAACTCTACTATTTTCATGAACATGAATTTTAGCTCTACTAATACCTACTCTAAATCAATACTGAGTAACCCATATCCCATATCCCATATGGCCACAATTATTGCCAAATATATTTCTTATGAATTTTCCCTCCAAGACCTCATATATCACATACATCCCATATTTTAGGGCATTTAATATTCGCCCGACCTCAACTGGCACTTCTGGTCTGCCTCAGAAATGCCACAAGTTGTTTGGCTTGTGCCAGCGGGCTCATAATTTGTGGGTCCGATAAGGCAACTCAAAGCCAAAGTTTGTGTGCACCCACAAAAAAAAAAAAAAAAAAAAAAAACTAACTCCAAACTGATTAAACTTTATAAAATTAGCAAGTTTTCGCCAAAATGCAATAGCCATATACTATAAATATATATATGAATAGCTGAAAGCACACATATATTTATATATATATATATTATGTATACGCCCTGAAGTCCCTTGGCATTTTGCGCACTTTTCTTTGGCCAATCGCAAACTTTAACATTTCTTTCAACCTTTCACCTTTTCTGCTTGTTCTAATGTTTTTTCTTTTCTTTCCTATTTCTCTTGGCCAAATGAATTTTGCGGTTTCTAGTTCGTTTTCTAATTCTGCAGCCCCGCTTTTCCATTAAACTTGTTGCTGTGTGGCATGGGACGTGCCTGGTCAAGTTTTCATTACGGAAAACAGCTTTTATGAGTCATATAAATGAAATGCGGTTATTATTCAAGAATACAAAACAGAGTTGAGCTACTCCAAAAGAAGCATTTCATTGGCATTCACTCTCCAAATGAAGCTCTTTGCACTATGCATGCATATATGTGTTTTTACTGATTTATATCATTATATGTATATACTTGAGTGCCGTTTGCTGCTGCTGCGATTAGATAAGTTTTGCTTTAATTGCAAGCTAACAGCTTAATAATTCGTAGTATTTTTATTTATTTATAATCTTGATTTTCCAATTCAATTGAATACTCTTCGTGACATTAGATGGCCAATCGATATTGCAAAATTGATAGGGAAGCACTTTAAGAGCTAATCGTCGATAGCTATAGATTAGAGCACAATCTGGAAAAGGGTATTCAATTGTATCTCTAAGTCTGACACACGTGTTTTCTGTATATCGATAAATATCGATGTGCCTATTGTCTTTATATATAGTCGATAGCTCTATGCCAGGAAAGAAAAAGTCTGTCACAGTAGAAATTTGAATTCGATATCTAAAAGCTCAAACCTAACTACACAAATGCATGAGTAATACGACATTTTCTCGATAAATATCACTTTAGATACCGCTTAGATGCATACTTTAGATACAGAGTATCTGCTAGTCATGTAGCAATGTAGTGCTATATCTCTATTTGCTTATAGAAGTTAACCCAAATACTAGATTAAAATGCGTAATTCTTTCAGACAGATTTCGCGATATGATATGGGAATGGGACTTTTTTAACGATACTTTGCCCTGGGTCCCTTTACACACTTTCTCGTACCGCTTGGCTGCCTCTGAGCTCATCGTAAAAACAACTTATTTTACACACATGCAGCATTTCACGTGTTCTCTGTCCATTGTCGTTTTTTGTTTATGACGCGAGTTCGCAATGAAACATAATAAATCCATAAATTCGCGCAGATGGTCGTAAATACGTGCACGAGTCGAGCCCTGCGGCTGAGGCGGGGCGGAGGAGTGGATTATCGACGCATTAGATTTGCGCTCGCTCTGACCATGTCCAGTGCTATCTTATCCGCCACGCAATCGGAAGTCGAGCAAGTGGGCACTTGGCCGGCGAAAGGCCAGTGCCAGACATTGCCCGTTGGCCAGTCTTGAACGAGATGTTGCTCCTGTACCACGTCGTCATCGTGATCGGTCTGCTCAGCGGCTGCGGCTGGGCAGCGCCAGAATGTAACCGCAATGCCGAATATTGCAAAGATCGGGCCATGCATCCGGATATGCAGGAGCCCAAGCAGCAACAGCAGCAGCAGCAGCAGCAACGCCTGGCGGGCGAGGAGAAGAATGCCTACTGGCGAGATCAGGGCGTGCAGTTCATCAAGCAGAAGCTGAGCGAGCAGCCGAAGGAGGGCAGAGCCAAGAACATCATCATGTTCCTGGGCGATGGCATGGGCGTGACGACCACCTCGGCTGCGCGCAACTTGCTGGGCGGCGAGGAGCAGTCCCTGTCCTTCGACCACTTCCCCTACACGGGCCTGAGCAAGACCTACTCCGTGGACCTGACTGTGCCCGACTCGGCCTGCACGGCGACCGCGTACCTGTGCGGCGTCAAGGGCCAGGAGGGCACCATTGGCGTCAATGGCGCTGTGCCCCGAGCCGACTGCAAGGCCACGATGGACCAGAGCAAGCACGTCGACTCCATTGCCAAGTGGGCCATCGATGCGGGCAAGTGGACGGGCCTGGTGACCACCACTCGCGTGACCCACGCCTCCCCGGCGGGCGTCTACGCCCACATCGCGGAGCGCGACTGGGAATGCGACACGGATGTGGTTGCCGACTGCGGCGAGGATTCCGAAGTGCCGGACATTGCCTACCAGCTGATCCACGGCGAGGTGGGCAGCAAGCTGAAGCTCGTGCTGGGCGGCGGCCGCAAGAACTTCGTGGACCATCGCCTGGAAGATTGGGGCATTCGGTCGGATGGCCGGCACTTGATTAACCAGTACTGGATGCTGAATCCGGAGGGCAACGTCTACGTGACCACAGCGGCCGAGCTGATGGAACTGAATGTCACGAAGCCGGAGCGCATATTGGGCCTCTTCCAGAACGACCATCTGCTGTACCACATGCAGGCCGTCGAGCAGGCCAGCGAGCAGCCCACCCTGGAGCAGATGACGCGCAAGGCCATCGAGTACATGAGCCAGAGCGAGCAGGGCTACTTCCTCTTCATCGAGGGCGGACGCATCGACCAGGCGCACCACGACAATCAGGCGCGCATGGCGCTTGACGAGACCATTGAGTTCTCCAAGGCGATTGCCGCCGCGCGAGAGCTGACCAGCGAGGACGACACCCTGCTGGTCGTCACGGCGGATCACTCGCACGCCTTCACCTACTCGGGCTACGGGGTAAGCACCACCCGGCACAACTCCAACTGAGTTTCCCTTTCCATTCCATTCACCAATCCCCTCGCTTGCAGTATCGCCACACGGACATCTTTGGCAAGGCGCCGGCCAATGGCAACGACGGCATTCCACACATGATTCTCAGCTATGCGAACGGCCCCAGCGCCGAGCGCTTCTACAATGCCGAGACCAAGGAGCGCGTGGATCCCACCACGCTGATAACGGGCCATCATGAGGAAGCCTTCCCAGCTGGCGTGCCCTTGGACTCGGAGACGCACGGCGGCGACGATGTGCTGGTCTACGCCTCGGGTCCCTGGTCCCACTTGTTTACCGGCGTCTACGAGCAGAGCACCATTCCCCACATGATGGCCTACAGCGCCTGCCTGGGCGACGGCCTCACCGTGTGCTCCGAGTCCCAAAGGACCTGAGCGCCCGCTGCGTGACTGCAGTTCATCACAATTAAGTTTGTGGCTCATTAAAAGCAGCGATTGCACTGGAGCAGCTGCGGCCGCTCCGACTCCTGCCACGCCACCCCTCCACTCCACTTCTGCTTGATGCATATTGTAAATTGAATTAAATGCGAATTTCCTACAGTACCGCGCCGCCTTTCGCATGTTTGCGGAAAAACAAGTTCGAATCAAGTTTCAGGCTTTCGTGCGTCTAATTAATAGCTGCACTCGTCGAATATAATTGGAAAAGAAAAGAGAGCAAAGGGCGGCTCAAGCGGCTCTTGACAGAGCCAATCAAGCCTTTGTCCTTTGGCTCGGAGTTGTATTAGTGCTGAGACCCTTTCAGCTTGCCTCTATAGCTCCCCAATTGCTGCTTAATCAAATGCAGAGCTGCTGGCTTTAAGAGCCATGGGATGTAGTTCTCGGCCAAGATATTCTACACATAGATTAGACATGGAATACCAGCGATTTCAGCATAGAGTCCTCACATAAATCTTTTTACTGCTTATCTGCCAGCTGAAGCTGATAAACATAAAACTCAAGAGCGAAGAGCGAACAGAGAAATTTCGTGCGGCAGTTGGCAACAATATTATGCTAACGTGATTAGAAACCTGGCGCAGGGCATGCATAGAGTCATGCAAACTCGACTAGAAGCTGAAAGCTCATCAACGTAATGGGCAAAGTTAGCACCTGCCCAAAGAGGGTGTGTGTGTGTGTGTGTGTGCGGTTCGTGGCATTTGGGATTCCCTTGCGTGTGTGGTTAAAGTTTTGGCCAGCATATTTGGGTTAAGGTAAACACGGGCCAAGCACAGCCAGCGGGCAGGCAAACACCAAGCACACCACACACACCGCACACACCCTCTTCACACACGCACACTCATGCCACACACACACCCCAAGAATTTGCATTTGATTTTATGCAAAACTTTCGGTCTGATTCGCCTGCAAATAACAAAGAAAATAAAAAAGTCGCGCGCCCGCATTTGCATTTTGCATTTTGCATTTTTCATTTAAAATTTAACAATTCAAATTTCAAATTTCACATTTTGCATACGAAATTCAAGCGTAATTGCTGCAATTAAAAACTATGCGTCATTCGTTCCTCTTCGGCCTTCGGGGCGTATGAGTAATATCAAATGCGAGGCAAAATGCGAAATGTATTTGTCAATTTTCTAGTTTCTATTTCCGCTTTGATTGCTAGCTAAATTATATCCGTTAGAGTGTGTGTGTGTTTGTGTGTGCGTGTGTTTGTGTGTGTGAGCCATTTCCCTTCTTGTGACAGCCATTAAATGTAGCAACCCATTCATTGCCTTGGCATTGGCAAAGCTAATTTCGCACAGTCCATCTCTCTCTCCCCCCCCCCCCCCTGCTCCGCAGCGGCCTCCTCTCTTCCTCTTCTTCTGCAACTGTTTAGCCCGCCGTGCCACTTCCGTCGTTTGATTTCAATGCCGGCAACCAGACCCACCTCCCCACCCCGGTGCTAGCAACGCGGCTCAATTCTTGTTAAGCACACATGTTATTAAACGAAACACACACACTCTCTCTCTCTCTCTCTCTCTCTCACTCTGTCGCCCTCTCTCTTTCTTTAGCGTCTATTGATTTTGAGTCGAATTGCGACAATGTCGTCTGGCCACCAATTGCGACTGCGGCCAGTCAGTGCCAGTGCTGGAAAAAAGCGTTGCAAGTGCAGCTTGTGGCAGGGCCACATAGTATTATGCTCAGCGACGATGGCCAATTCGGCCAGACGGCCAGCTCAGTCCGGCCGCCGTCTTTGGGCAGCCACACAAGTGCCTCAGAATGCGAATGCTAAAATTTTAAATTTTATGCAAATGTCGCTGGGCCAGACTCGAGTGAGCATCCAAAGAAGACTAGCTCTCTCTCACTTTCTCGCTCTCACACTCTCACTTTCTTTGTCGTCTCTGTCTGTCTTGGTTGAGTTTTATTCAAATTGCGCAGCTCGAGTCAAAGGAACATCTTTTGACATTTAATCAACTGAGTTGGAATGAATGAGCGAAATTTTAATGAATGAATAAAAAGTTCGTATTAGAAATTTCATTATTGTCCTCCATTCTAGCTGCTCTCTCTCTCTCTCTCTCTCTCTCTCTCTCTCTCTCTCTCTCTCTCTCTCT